GGGCTACTTGGTATTTTTCAAATGGCTAAGTGTTAGATTAAAAAAAAAAAACTCAAGATTTTTTTTTGTGGGGTCATTTGACCCCACATGAACCCATATGGGTCCGCCCCTGCGTGGCATTTGCGAGTTATCCAAATGTGAATGCATTACTATTTTCCATGCAAATTTGAATAATTGCTTCTCCCTCTTTAACTTCATTTACAGAAATTGTAGTACTGTCAATCCCAGTTTGCTGTGAATTCTGATCTGGACTATTGATACTGGTACTCTCTTCTGATTGAATTAGGTAGTTTTGTTTCTTGAGCTCAAGTGTTTCTATCTCGTTCTCGAGTTCCGGAAAGTATTTAAGAACACGATCGACTAAAGCCGGAGCAGTCCATCTCTTCTGTAGGAATTTATATTAATTTCCAGTAAGATAAAATTCAATGCAATACACCTTTCTTGAAAAAAGTTGGGCATCAAATGCATATTTTGGTAAATAAATAAATAAATTATTAATCTATGATGTTTAATGTAAAGCCAATGCCCGTTTAGCAAGATTTTTGAAAATTCGAAAGTTGTTTCTAAGATTAAGAAACTACTTTTGAAAATATTCAGATAATTTTCTTAAAGTGAGGGGAATTCGGTCTATGATAACTTTCTCAAAAAGTGCTTTTACTAGAAACTGGAACAAATTCATAGATCCTGTCAAGTGAGCCCTTACTCTCAAATGTGACATCAACCGATGAAGTCCTCACTGTTACTGTTCATTGGCACATTCACCTTCTCTCATTGTCATTATGATTCAGCTTCTTAGCAACTGATGTACTTTCTTCTCCAACCAATAATTTTTTTATTTTTTAAGCATTTCCTTGTCTTGGAATTAGTAGAGTTGCCTTTAACTTTCCTATTCATCAACCCCTTTTCTTTCACCCTTGGTTGTAGCTGCTCTACTTGCGGCAGCGGTGCTGCTACTAAATGCTCTTGCTCAGCAATGTTAGCACAGCTTAATTAACCAACTAAATTCCATATCTCACACTCACGATACACTCACGTTTTACTGGATCGGGTGCACCAGAATTCCACTCAGCTCTCTCCCTCTCTCTCCTCCTAGTTGCTGGACCACCCTTAAATTATGGATCACCATTGATTTCTTTTTCACTTGTATAGCTTAGATTTAACATCTAGAATATTCTTTACTTGTATAAATTTCACCTCATCTTCATTTGTATTGTATTGAGCATTAAGCTGATTAATAAATCTTTTTTACAAAGTTTAACTTGGTATCAGAGCTCCAATGACAAACGCCAATAATACTGGAACCAACAGTCAGCCGGCCCAATCAACTTCAGTAGCTAACACAGTGGTATCTCCAATGCTGGGAGGTAACCATTTCACTCTGTTTGGTGTGACCCTCACTTAAACCCATTCCATCAAACTCAACAGAGACAACTATCTCCTATGGAAGAACATGATTCTACACATCATCAGAGGCCACAATCTGAAAGAGTTTTTACTGGGAACCAAAGTGTGTCCCTCTGAATTTACCAACACTTAGATTACAGGATAATCAGGGATTAGTGTAGAGATGACATCTAATCCAAAATTCAGTTAGTGGAAATCCATTGATCAGCTACTCATGGGATGACTCTATACAACAATGACTCCTGATATTGCACTGAGAGTTATGGGATCTACAGACTCTCATAAACTATGGACTACAATAAGTGATAGATATGGCATTCAGAACAAATCGAGGTTCACCTTTCTCATTGGTGAACTACAGAAAACCAGGAAAGATAACCTGAGTATTGATCAATACTTGAGCAAGGTAAAACTCCTTGCCAGTAATCTTGAAGTTGCTGGGAAAGTCATACCACTCACAAATTTGGTGACTCAAACTCTGGCTGGCCTAGATGAAGAATATACACCCATTGTTGTCCAAATTAATAGCAGAGATTCTATATCTTGGGAAGAAGTTCAATTTAGGGATGGCAATTCGAACTGAATACAGGAGCCAGCAACCATGTCTCCTCAAGTGCAGAACATCTCAGTCAGGCCAGTAAGTACTCTGGTAAGGAAAGAATCATGGTTGGTAATGGAAGCAAACTCAATATTTCTCACATAAGCACATCCAAAATGCCAACCATGACTGATAAACATTTGCTTCTAGATAAATTGCTTCGTGTTCCTGAAATAAGGAAAAATCTTATAAGTGTTTTACAGCTCACCGCTGATAATCACGTCTTTATGGAATTTCACTCTAACTATTGTTGTCTTAAGGACAAATCAACGAGGAAAACGATGCTACACGGAAGGCTTAAAGAAGGGTTGTACCAGCTGGAACCTCCAAACATCTATCCTACATCACAGTCAAAGAATCCAAACTCATCATATTAGAATAATTACTGCAATTCAATGTTTTTATTTGCGTCAAATAGAGTCAAGAATCACGAGTCAAATAGCTCCCTGATCAATGTTTGGCACAGGAGACTTGGACACTCATCAGTCAGGTGATGTCCCAAGTTCTCAAAGATTGTAATCAAAACTTGAAAATGAATGAACATAAGTTTTTCTGTGATTCCTGTCAGTATGGAAATCACATATGTTGCCTTTCAACACATCAAGTTCACGTGCTAAAGCTCCTCTTGAACTCATTCACACAGACGTATGGGGACAGTCACCTATCCTCTCTACGTTTGGTTTCAAATTTTACATAGCCTTCGTTGACGATTTTAGTCGACACAGCTGGATATATCCAATGAAAAACAAATCTGATTCTCTGATTATCTTCATTCAATTCCAAAAATTTGTTGAAAATAAGTTTGATAAAAGAATTAAAATTCTCCAATCTGATTGGGGAGGAGAATACAGAAGTTTTGTCAATCATCTCTCACAATTAGGAATAGAGTTTGGACATCTTTGCCCACACACGTCACCTCAAAACGGAAGAGTTGAAAGAAAACACCGTCACATTGTAGAAACTGGTCTGACTTTACTTGCTCAAGCCAAAATGCCACTAAAATACTGGGTGGAAGCCTTCCAGGCTACAACCTTTCTCATTAATGAATACCCTCACAAGTCCTTCAAATGCAATCCCCTTATCAGGTGCTAAACAATAAAAAGGCTGACTACACATTCCTTAAAGTATTTGGGTGTTCATGCTATCCTTGCCTAAGACCTTATCAAATGCATAAATTCAGCTTCCACTCAGTCAAGTGTGTCTTCCTAGGCTATAGCTCATCTCACAAAGGCTACAAGTGCCTCAGTCCTATTGGCAAAACCTACATATCTAGACATGTTATCTTCAATGAGTCCGAATTTCCATTTGAGTCAATCTTCATTGCAAAAGATAAATCAAAGTCTCCTGAACAAACTGTCATATCCTACTCTCAGTCACAACTTCCATTTTTCGTTCATTCCACAGAAAAAAGTTCAGCTGATGCCACCCTTTTTGAAGCTGCACCATCAGCAGAGTTACCTCATGATGAGTTCAACATTACAACTGAAAGAGAAATCTCCAATGACCAACTTGAACCTGAGCAAAATGAGGAATCAACTGATAATGAAAATATTGAAGTGAGAGATCAAAGCATCAGTGAAATGGAATTACCATCAGAACACGGTGATAGAAGAGGTGAAACTGGGCACTCCATGATAACAAGAGCAAAGACTGGTATCTTCAAACCTAAAGTCTTATCCAGTCAAGCAATCGAAGGTAAACTAAGTAGAATTGCACTTGAAAATCCTACTGAGGCCTGGAAGGATGAAAACTAGAAGAAAGCAATGATTGAGGAGTACAATGCACTGATCAGAAATAAGACATGGAGATTGGTACCCCCATCTCCATCCTACAACATAGTGGGAAACAAATGGGTGTTCAAGTTAAAACAAAATTCTAATGGATCATTTCAAAGGTTCAAAGCAAGGTTAGTTGCAAAGGGTTTTCACCAAACTCTAGAGGTTGATTTCTATGAGACATTCAGTCCAGTATTGAAGACATCTACGCTGAAAATCATTCTCACTCTTGCAGTCTCAAAGGATTGGAAAATAAGGCAAGTAGATATCAACAATGATTTCCTCAATGGTGATTTAGAGGAAACCGTCTATATGCATCAGCCAGAGTGCTTTATTGATAAAACAAAGCCCAAACATGTCTGCAAACTTGATAAAGCCTTGTATGGACTCAAGCAAGCACTAATGGCTTGGTAAGACAAACTGGAAAACACACCAACTGACTGGAAGTTTCAGCAATCAAGAGCAGACACTTCACTCTTCTACTTCACAACAGAAAGGGATATAATTTTTATACTTGTTTACGTGGACGATATAATAATCACTGGCAACAATAGTGATCTACTGCAGAGCTTCATAAATAAACTCCACAGGCAATTTGCTCTCAAAGATATGGGCGAGCTTCATCATTTCCTAGGCATAGAAGTTCACAGGCATAGTGTAGGACTCCATCTGACTCAAGCACAGTATACATGTGAGTTGCTCAAAAGATTTGATCTTCAGAACATCAAACCATGTCCTACGCCTAGTGCAGTTGGAAAAACAATGTCTAAAATCGAAGGTGAAGTCCTAAAAAAATCATTCAGTCAACATGAGTGTTGTTGGATGTCTCTAATATTTGTCACATACTAGGCCAGATATAACCTTTGCTGTCAATAAACTCAGTCAATTCCTACAGGAACCAACATCAGTACATTGGCAAGTAATGAAGAGAGTCTTAAGATATCTAAAAGGCACAATCAATCAAGGACTATGGATCAAAAGAAGCGATAATCTGATAATAACCGGCTACTCTGATGCAGACTGGGCATCATGCCCTGATGATAGAAGATCAGTGGCAGCCTACTGTATTTATCTAGGAGACAGCCTAGTATCTTGGTCGTCTAAGAAGCAACATGTTGTCGCAAGATCTAGCACGGAAGCAGAATACAGAGCTCTTGCCTCTGCTGCGTCTGAAATAGCATGGATACAGTCGTTATTTAAGGATCTCAAATTACAATCAACCTCAATTCCAATTATCTGGTGCGACAACCTCAGTGCTGGAGCCTTGGCAGCCAATCCTGTATTCCATGCTAGAACAAAGCACATTGAATTAGATGTTCACTTCATAAGGGATAAAATTCTTGCAAGAGAACTGGAAGTAAAATACATCCCTACTGCAAATCAAATTGCTGACTTGATGACTAAAGGTGTATCACACTCAAGATTTGCTTACCTGAAGGACAAGCTTGGAGGGTCAATAACCCCTCCAGCTTGAGGGGGGATGTTAGCACAGCTGAATTAACCAACTAAATTCCATATGGCACACTCACGTTTTACTGGATCAGGTGCACCAGAATTCCACTCAGCTCTCTATCTCCTCCTAGTTGCTGGAGCACCCTTAAATTATGGATCACCATTCATTCCTTTTTCACTTGTACAGCTTAGATTTAACATCTAGAATATTCTTTACTTGTATAAATTTCACCTCATCTTCATTTGTATTGTATTGAGCATTAAGCTGATTAATATATCTTTTTTACAAAGTTTAACTAGCAAAAACTATTGAATTAATGACCTTATAGCCACCACCATTCTCAGCCGTAACCGCCGGAGGTTTACAATTATTAAAGGCATTCTCAGCAATACTGTACTGTGTGGCTGCTGGCTCCCCTATATATTATAAAAGTGGCCATGATTCATATTCCAAATGATTAATAGAGCATAAATATTCACAATTCTCAAGATTCATTTTAGGTAAACTTGACATTTACTTAGAGAGTACTGTAGAAATAAAACTTGAATCTGTACTGCACAGTACTTAAAAGATCCGTGAATCTCGGTGGTCCAAACCCAAAAATCCAGTTTCTTCCTAATATTTTCACTTCTTCAAACCCTAGAAATCTCAACCCTTAATACTAATTTCCAATGGTTTTGTTCTCAAATCAGTGTCTGCAATTCCATCTACTGATGTTCATTGTGCAACATGATTTCCAGAATCATAAACCTGAATTCTAATTATAGATAACCTGAAGAAATAACTGGTTAGTGAGATCCAGAGAGATCTTTAATTAGAAGTCAATTAATGCTAACCTGTTTCTACATACAAAGTCAATTGCTAAAATGGATTATTCAATTAACTAATAAAATTTTTAAAGAAGTAACTTGTGGATTATAGACAGAATAATGATATTTATCATCACTGGGGTTGAGCCCCATTTTATGTGGCAATTATATGGCATTAAATGATATACTCAATTAAATGAGTAATGTGACTTTGTATTTAAATGAATCTGTCATTTGATGTCATGTAATTGCCACATAGATTGAGGTTCAACACCAATGAGGATGAATAATATTACTCTTATATAGGGCTGTAAATGGATCGGATATGGATCTAATTTGCCTATATCTGATCCGATCCGATAAGAAAATTTATCCGATCCGATCTGTTCCGATAATCCAACGGATATTTAATTGCTAAATCCATATCCGATTTACAATGTTATTGGATATTCGATCCGATAATCCGATCCGAAATTAATAAAACTTAGGAAAAAAAATTTTTGAACTAACTTGAGGCCCACCTATTTTTCCTAGCAAGCCCAATAGTGACTTCTACCATCATGATATTCCTTTTTAAAGGAGATACCATCTTCTATTTTTCTATTCACATTCGATGTGGGATAATGTAAAATTGAATTTCAATTCTAAATATAAATATTTTATTTCATTATTTCCATTAACAAATCAAATTATTTATTACATATTAATTATTAGTTTTTAAAGTTGTAAAATAAATTTAATTAAGAAAAATATAGATATTTATTCACTTTAAATTAGTAAACTAAAATTAGAAAAACATTGGTTGAAATCAACTTTTTTTAAAAAAAATTTCCAATTCTTAAACAAGTTTAATAATTATAATTTTTTTAACTTTTTTATGTTTTGAATTTGATTATTTTTTATTCTAAATTTATTTATTTTAGTGACAAATAATATGCCATAAAAATATTTTACCGATTCAATTATTTATAACAAATCGGATCGGATTGACATATATCCATATTTGACTCATTTAGTTAACGGATTATCGGATTCGAATTTTGATTGGATTATCGGACTAAGACCCTAAATCCATCTCCCACTAATTTCGTCGGATTCGAATCAAAATCCAATCCATTGACAGCCCTACTCTTATAGACAAGTGCCCTCCCTCTCGATGAGCTCTTCATGTTGACACCCTAACTTCTTGTTTGGTCCTATTTTTTTAAAATTAATTTTTCTTCTAATTCATTTTCAACTATATATTTTATGAGATTTATAAATTTTATCAACTTTTTAAGCATACATTTAGCTCTTTTTTGGTTTAGATAAAAAATTGAATTTAGGTGCAAAATATTTTATTGTGTGAATGTATGGTTGAAAATGAGAATGAGAGTTCAAGAATTTTGTCTTAAATTTATAGCAGACTTTGATAAAATTTGATCGTATGATTGAAAAGTTGTGTCTCATAAAAAAGTGTGACTAAAATTTATTGTTGATTTTTACTTAAATTGAATCAAACATGAAATTCTTTAACTTTATTAAAATCTATTAAAATCCTGATTTTAAACTAAATCGTACATGGACTAATAAAGAATTTGATTTGTGTACAATACGCTTCCCGTGATAAATAAAAGAGCTTTGCTATATGTACATCGGATTGTAATTCTCCTCACAATAGGGGACCATGATTTTTTTATTGAGCGTTGACCCTCTACCGTGAGAGAGTGGCGTACAAATAGCAAACCTCAAAATAAAAGATGATTGATTATCCAAAATAGTACACAACAAATACATGAGTATCTCCAACAAATACACCAGATTGTAAATCTCCTCACAATATATTGTTTTTTATTGCCAGTACAAAGTGTAACAAGGTAGTACATAGGGACATGTTTCATAGTACAAGTGCTACATTTTCGAGTTGAGTTCCGCTATTCAATTAACTGTTCATCCAAGTAATTATTGAAATATCGTTTTCAAATTAACATGTCATCTCAAATTTGCTCTCATTAAGCCCCTGTTTGGCTCCAATTAATTTATAATACGTTTTTCTCTATCTTCTTTTTAATTACACATTTTTCAATAAAATAATATTACAAATAAACCAAAAAAATTTCTTTATTTTTCAACCATATATTCTTCAAAAAAAAAATACTATTTCAAAAATTATAATACCAAATATTGGGGGCCAAATGGGAGGCTAAATTTATCACTAACCCACAAAACTGATAACATGTTAATTTAAAATGATGTGTCAATAATTATTTTGATGAACAATAAGTTGGACAACGAACCTCAACTCTCATTTTCCCTAGTTGCATGCTCTCTCCTCACAAGTCACAAAGAATATATCCTTCTTGGTCTCCATGCTGGAATTTCAAATTTTCAATCGTGCAATTTACATTTTTTTTTTCTCTTGGATATGGTTTTGGGTAATTTTCTCTTTCTTTTGCTACTAGAAATGGGCTCGAAGTTGGAAATGCTGAATCAATTTAAAGAGTTTGGGTTACAAATGGGCCCACTAAGTTGAGCCTTTTAGTTGCTATTGGGCTAATTAAAATGCAATATTTATAAAGCCCAAATCCGCTAAAAGCACAAACGCACAGATGTCTTGCGCAATCGTCTTCCTCCCATCTACTGCTTCCTGTACTTGCAGTTGCAGAGTAACAACTCCATGGCGTTTCCTCAGTCCAACGTCGTTTCAGAAGCTTCAAAACGGGGCATTTCGCTGTCTTAATGAGAATATCAGGAAGAAGAAACTCTATCTTCCCCGTGGATTTCCTTTGGACCTCTCCCCTCCTCCTATTGACTATGACCCCCTCGTAAGACCCACATACACTCCCCTTATTCTATAAACGATTTCTTTGAAGTCTTTTTCTGTATCAATTATCGATAATTTCAATTTTGATAATATTTACTTTTGCTATACAGCTACGAAAATTAATGTTTCTCACTGGAACTAGAGGTTATGATAGCATTTTGGCTGAGCTTAAAAGAGATATTTATTAGCAGTATGAAGAACAGAATGAGTATTCATGCCAAAGTATTCGTGAAAAATCGTCAATGTTTAAAAGGGATTTGTATTATGTCCTTAGAGATTACTATTGTAAAAGCTTTAGCCAAACATGCTTTATTTCTATTTTGAATAGAGTACAAAATGACAAATTATTTGGGTTCATTACTGATCCTTTTCAGGATGCAACAACGGCTGCTGAGGCAAAGGTAGCAGATCACACGAAAAATGAAACTTTTGATAATGACGACGAGGCATTGGATGCGATTGACAATGGTGTTGTGGTGGGCATCCATTCTGTTTTAAAGTCTTCCATTTCTAATCTACTTAGTGAATCCATCTTCTGGATTTATTATTTGCATGAGCACCTTCTCTGTCTTTGCTTTGTCTGAGGAAGACAAATTTTATGCTTTCCATTTTTCTCCTTTCAATTCTCTGTCGATCTCGGAGATTAGATTTATAGCCCATGTAATTTTGACTGTAAGGGACCAAGAATTCATGAACAACACGTATTGCTAAAATCATTTACTTGCATCTACTGACATGTATTTTTGATGTTTTTGTTTTTCTTGCTGCTTTATGCAGGAGTTTACTTATTGTAGTGCTCATCTATTCTTGATTCACCTTTCTTTTTATGCCATTACCTCTTTATTTTTAAGACTTCTGATATGGATATTTGTGTTAATTTGGGAGACAAGTTTCTGTTAGTATCTGGGCTGCTTCTGAACTGGATGATAAATTTCTCAAAAGAACTATTTTTCTATCTCTTTTTAGGTTGTGGATCTTTCTGATTATGGCCGGATTAGAGGTAACTTTTCTAATATGATTTTTTATTTTTTGGTTATTTCTTTACGAACAACATAAATGCAGTGATTACCTAAACTGTGGAAATCATAAATAATCTAACTATTAAGAGGTTCATAAAAATTTCAGTCACATATTAATGTGGCTTGGAACAAAAACTAGGACCACGTTTTCTTAGTGATGAGGGACTAACCCAAAGTCTTGATAATAATAACTATCCACACTTTAAAAGCTCATATGTTTAGCTACTTTGGCACTAATTCTGCACAAATATCTGGGCACAGTCTCTAAGTATTCTGCTTTCCATACATATACAACATAATCATATCACTGTCAAGTAAATACCACCAAGGTCATTTTGAAGACTTCCATCATATATAGTTATAGGTTAATCTATCCTTTTTTTTTTTTGAGTAATAATGAGGGATGCCATACGCTTACCCTACTATCCCAGTCATGGGACACAAAAAACGATAGATATTCTCCATATAGTCAAAGAAGCTCTATTCCACGTTACTAAAAAATCGTTAGTGGGAAACACAATGTTTCACCATTCAATATATGAAAATCTCCATTGTTTCTTATTTTGTATTTAGAATAATTTCAGTTATCGCCAAGGAGTCAGACCTCTGTACAACTCATGCTGATATTTACACAAAAGATTTGGAGAATTCCTTGCCTGATAGAGAAGCTTATTTTAGTTAAAACAAAAATATCTTTGATTCTACTGCACAGGTGGATAACTTCAGCAAAATGTTTTTGCAGTTCAGATTGCATCTCAGAACTCTGTTGTAACACTAACATCACAATTATGTTTCTTTAGTCACCTTAGTGATAAAACTTCTCAGGTTGGTTTTCCGGGTTTTGTATTGACAAACTCTTATATGACATGGAATTGCCTTTCCTTTGCCTCTTTGTACATAATGCAACAAAAGTTAGTGGATTCATAAGCTTTATGTGTCGCTTATCAATGTCCTCAAAACCCATGTTTCGATATTGCAATAATTATTAAGAAAATTGCTGCTTTATTTCTCAAAAACTCAAAATCCTTACACTGACAAGCTCATTGCGCGAACATAACATATAGTGGCGTACTCTAATCGATAAGAATTTTGATACTTTATTTGTTTTTTTATTTTTGTATGTTTAATTCTGATAAAGTCAGCGGAGAAGATCGAGTTCAGTTTCTTCACAATCAAAGTACCGCAAACTTTGAATGTCTTAGTGAAGGACAGGTAGTTCTTAGGAGTTTGCCTACTGTTTCCCTTTATGTCTTAACATGAGGCAAGTTTTCATTTCAGTTTGATGCTGATCGTCATGTTGAAATTTGTAGGGGTGTGACACTGTTTTTGTGACACCAACAGCTCGAACAATTGACATTTCTCATGCATGGGTTATGGTAATTGATCTTCAATTTTGTAACAAAGTAGTTAGCATCTTCAGTATCTATAATTATCTTATATACAAGTTTTTTTCTAATTCATATGTTACATTTACAGAAAAATGCAATTACGCTGGTGGTCTCTCCTGTGACCTGTGGAAGCATTATTGAAATGCTTAGGAAGTATGCCCATACAACTAGAAAGTTCTAAACTGATTATTCATGCTTTTTCTCAGTCGATGATATTTATCTTAATTTTTTCTTGACGTGCAATTCATTTTTCAGGCATTCGTTTTGTATTAGTATACCTAAAAGCAGCATTTCCTAAACTGATTTTAGGCATGCATGTTCTAAACTGATTTCCCTTCGTAGGTACATATTTTTTGCAGACAAGGTAGAGATTCAAGACATCACTAAGCGGACCAGCATGTTTGTATTAGTGGGACCTAAAAGCAGCAAAGTATGTTTTCTGATGATTTGTGACTGATTAACCTGTCCTTACTTTCTATATTCACTTAGATGTCCTCGCTGCTTTCTCCTTTCTGCTGATTTGTTTTGTGGTAACAGATACTGGTGGATTTGGATCTTGGAGACCTTGTTGGACAGCCGTATGGATCTCATAAACATTACAGTGTAAGCTAATTTACTCATTCACTCAAAACCTTTACGAGTTCTTTTATCTTGCACAAAAAAGGAAATTAATGAAATGTCATATCTTTTTTGATGTGTGTGCTGGTGTAACGTTTGGCACTCATTCAATTATGGATCAGTGTTAAGCCCCACATTTGCTGTAGAAACAGGAATTTTTAATTGGTTATTGTTTTATTAACATTATCATTGACAAAAAAATTATTAGATTCTCGGACTTTACCTGAAATCCTTCGTATGTTTTATCATTTGCCATGTTGGTATGTATTCTTAAAAAGATAAGTTCTGAGATTTAGTGCTGTTACTTCTTAAATGATTAAATCTACATGGCATCGGAATGATCCTACAGAGGCGCAAGTGGAAAACCACATAATCGACCTAAGCCACACGTCACTGCAGAATAAAGGCAGAGTAAGCTTTGCTCTTCGCACCTCGCAAGGGCAAAGCTCTAATATCGTTTCTCCTTAAAACTCTGTCCGGGTAAAGCCGATTGCTGAGCTTCGCAGGAAAATGGACCAACTCGACAAAGCTAACGTGACGAACTCTTATAGGCAAACCGAGGTACTTGGAACAAGTTAGACCCCAAAAACAATCGAAGCCATCATAGGCATTTCCCCCTAAAGGAATACAAACAAATATCTCACTACCCACGTGGTAACATGAGGAAAGTGCCACGTCGTAAAACAGTTAGGTGTGTTGTGAGTTCTATGAAATGTGTGGTTGAAAATGAATTTAGGAAAAGTAATAAAAATTCTGCTCATTTTAAATTTATTTTTATACATAATTTAATTAATAGATTTATTTTTCATTTGTGGTTTGACTTCTTGTGCATTCAATCCCAACGATTCAAAATTTATAGAGGATTTATGGCATTATCACCCGCAAAATCCATAAAGAAATTCAAGCTCACCTTTGCAGCCACCAATGTTCTAAAAGACGTAATGCGTGGAGGCCAAACTATGGGTTAGGCGAGGCATATGCGTAGAAAAGCGTAAAATGTGTTTTCTTATTTTAATATTATTTTAATTTAATAAATCAAAAAATCATTTAATAATTAAAAGTAATATATACCAAACATCTAATACAGATTTATAAAAACTTTATACATTTTTTCAAAAGTTTTCAACAAAAAGATAAGTTTCAAATGTAAATCAACCTTTAAATTTTAACTTGAAAGAATTGTACAAAAAAAAATTTAAAAAAAAAAGAGAGAGAAAGAAAGATAAGGTGCTCATAATCGCGCCTAGGTACGCAACTGTTGACTGCTTAATAAGGCGCCAAGCCACTTGGCTTGGTGTTTCCGCCGCTCAAGGCGCCGCCTAGACGCACATTTTAGAACATTGGCAGTCACTAAGATTGCAGTATGCCATCTCTGTAAAGGTCTTGTCAAAGAGGAGCATCTCATAAAGGTTATAATGATCCATTTATGTGCTTGGTTCCTGATCTGGAGATTGGAGTAGACCCAGATAAAAAGATATCTTTATTGCTGGTAGAAGCCATTTGGAGGTGGTGTGTCTGCTGCATTCTTTAACAGGCTAGGAAAATTAATTGCTATATAGAGTAGGATGAAATTAGCTGTTGGAAACGACACTATCATTTTTAGGGCGCCGTTGTTTACTTTGACCTTTATGTACACATAGAACTGGGTACTGAAGAGATTCTAACTAGTTCTCATAGATTGTGAATTTACGCACATGAGGTGTGCTAACTTTTTGGTACAAATTAAGGATAAAAAGGGCTCCTAAAGAGTAATATTGGTCACGTAGGTTGGCCTGTGCTCATCAACCATGATGTTATGGTCTGTATTATGTGGCTTCTGCATTCTATGCATTAATATATTGAACCTCGGTGGCCCCAGTGCATGTAATCTTGACCCACATAATATTGATTTAAAGTTTTTGTCATTGCCACGAGTTAGCATATTACGGCCTGGCAGCCTGCTATTTTCCAAAATTTCACAAACCTACATTTGTACCTTTGCCACTTGATGGCAAAAGATTTAGCTTCCACAGTTCAAAGATTGAAGCTTATTATCTCTCCATTTCCGAATTGGCTCCCAAACTGTTGGCCAGAGAGAGAACTTCAACATCATTGTTATTGTTATCACAATCATCACATTTTAACAAAAGTGGCTAATATAATTGGAAAATACATGTCAAATCTCCTAATTGAGAACATTATCATTCTGTTTGAGGCGCATTATTTAGCCAGAAAAATGAAAAATATGACCGTTTGCAATCAAATTCAGCACCTTTTTTTGACTTATTCTCTCGAAGGTGGGGCCCAGCTACCTGTGCAACTGTCATCTTTTTCATTTTCATGAGGTAGAAAATGTGCTCCAAACAGGGGCTATATCTGGATGATGAATGCTGAATGACCAGTAACCTTTTTTATAAAATTCAGCATGCACACTATTATATTTAGCCAGACATATATATTATGGAAACATAATTTGCATTCCTATTCCTAATGCAGGTTAGTGGAATGCCATTGACTGTAGCTGTGGGAAATGTTATTTCACAAGAAGGTTTTACATTATTGATGTCTCCAGCTATTGCTGAATCAGTCTGGAAGGCTCTTCTAGGTCAGGGTGCAATCCCCATGGGCTCTAATGCTTGGGAGACATTAAGGATTCTTCAAGGTTGTGGTAATTCTTGAGTTATTGTTTTGGATCTTCATTATTACTCTTTTCCTTCATTTCTCTTGTTCCATTTTGACTTCACATGTTTATCTGTTCTTGGTGGATGTTAACTTTTTTCCAGTATTTGGCATCCTTTATCATGTTTCCTGGGCTCCTGACTTTTCTAATTTCTTTATCATTCTACTGGTTCTAATTGAAATTATGATTTAACTATTATTCTGATTGTGAGGTTTTGCTGTCTATCGTTTGGTTCCTTGTATAGAAATCTGTAACCTTCCTGCTTAACTTCTTCAGGAAGGCCAGCTCCTGGCAAAGAACTCACGGATGAATTTAATGTTCTAGAGGCTGGTCTCTGGAGGTCTATTTCTTTAAATAAAGGTTGTGTGATTTCGTAGACTGGTATTTCTTCACAAAATTAGAGTGGAAGCGGTGGTTTGAAACTAAGTTCTTTATCAGGATGTTACAAAGGACAAGAGACTATTTCTAGACTCGTAACTTATGATGGCATCAAGCAGAGATTGTGGGGAATTCGCCTACCGTCTCCAGCAAAACCAGGCAGCTTCATTACAGTTGATGGGAAAAAGGTTTCACTTTTATTTTTCTTTTTCGATATGTTGATAGTATTAGAAGTAGTTTTAGTGTTTTACTGACCATAAAAGCTAGCTTAAATACAGAAAAGAACATGAATTAGTTTATGGCTTCTGCATAGTCTGACCATCATAACTTAAGCATGGCATTTTTGCTTTCTTAATCATTCATACTCGGCAAAAGGAAAAGACTATCCTAGATTGGCACCTATTATTGTTCGCTTAATGTGATCTGAATTTTGTTGACCTTTACAAGGCTGAGGTGACGAGCAATCTATATATAATTGTTCAGGTTGGCAAACTGACAAGCTTCACTGCTGGTAGAAAAGCGTCTGAGCCTTTTGGGTTAGGCTATGTCAAGAGGAAAGCAGCTTCAGAAGGAGACACGGTGATTGTTGGTGATAATATTGTCGGTACGCTAGTAGAAGTTCCCTTTCTAAGAGAACAACTTTTGCCATCATAATGGTCCTGGCCTAAAGACTTCTGATTCAGTTGCCCAATGGCCGTCCGAGCAGTTGATATGCTGAGAATTGTGCATTCCAATTGTCTCGTTAGGTGAGACACACCGTAAATGTATGACGAACCATATAGTATAACCAACTTTTAATGTGCAGAAGTGATTTGTGTGAAAAGTGAAAAATAGTTTGTAAGGAAATAAGGGAATGATTTGAGACAGACTGACAATGAGATGTGATGAATTGTTTTATACCCGTTTATGGTTTGTTTTTCATACATAATATTCATTTCAAGTTCCTAGTTGTTTACTTTAGCACTTTGTTTTTTACTTGAGTAATTATTTGCTTTTGAGACGCAAAACATCAGTTTGAACAGCATTTTATCTTTTGTTTCCTTAGAGGTGTCAATCCGGGTCGGGCCGGGCCGGGCCTGGTCGGCCTGCCAACATTTGAGCCCGGTACGGCCCGCTTGAAAAAAAGTCCGCCCGCTACGGGTTTCGGGTCGGCCCACAAATTTTGGACTACAACCCGGCCCGTCCGCTGACCCATCCGGGTCGAGCCCATACGGGTCGCGGGTTGTTCCAAGAATTTTTTATATTGATTGCAAATTTTTATTTTTTTTTGGTTAAATGTAAATTAAGAATTGAATAAAATGATAAATTCATATTTATACCAAGAAATGATTACATAGAATTCAAATTATATATTTGTTTCTCAATCAATCTTCATGAACTGTAAGATTTTTGAAATTTTCAGCAATATCATCATTAATTTTATCTTGCATCCTTCGATCCGCGAATTTCCAATCTTTCACGCATATGAGAGCTTCCAAAATATTTTCTTTAAGTCTAGATCTTCGTTCGTCCAATACTCTGTTACCTGCACTAAAAGCAGACTCGGATGTCATGTTGAGATTGGAACTGTTAGTATATCTCGTGTCATTTTAGATAATACATGGTATGACCGCTCATTTAATTCCACTATCGTAAAATATCTAATATATCCACTTCATCTTCAGGTATTACACTATAATGATCAAATTGATAATATCTTTCTAATTCAGTAAGTGTGGTATGTGGATTTGCAGTTGAAGTTGAAGTAGTAGATGAAGAATCAAGAACATTACGTTTCTTAACTATTATGGAGAAAAAAGAAGATTTGCCTTTAGAAGTTGTACTAGAGATTGGAGAAGAAGACATATTGTCATTGTTACCATATTTAAAATTTGTTTTTTTTTTTACTGGTCGCGGGTTAACCGCGGCCCGTGGGGGTGAAACCCGCGAAGCCCGCGGGTTACACCTCTTTGGCCCGTGAACCGCCCGCACAGGTCACGGGTCGGCCCGCGGTCCCGATTTTCATGGGCCGATTTTCACTGGTCGAGCCAACCCGTCCATCTTGACACCTCTATGTTTCTTTGAGTTAGGGCCAAGTTCTTGTAAAGAAATTCCTGGTAGGCTTAAATGACAGAGGGATCGCTGTAAAATTTCTTTGTTAATTATCTCTAGGATGCTTACGTACAAATCATTATACATTATAAACCTGCTAAAAGTAAAAATGCATGTACATAATTCTACCAACTGAAATCAAAATTTTGTTTCAAGACTTGAAGAAAAAAGAATTCAGTGATCAAAAACATTCTTGTAAAATGCTAACTACTATGAGTTGTTCATTGGACAATTATGTTGGTAATTCAACCTCAAATTTGAGGCAAATGCCTCCTCTTCTATCGTCTTCTTTGGATTTAGGCATGCTTCTCCAGGTATGAGTTTTTCAACCACACATTCTTCAATAAAATAATATTACACGTAAATTTAAAAATCTTCCTTATTTTTTAACCACACATTCTTCATCAAATTATTATTCTAAAATGCATTTTTTTGAACAAAAAAAAAATAATAATAATAATAAAAAATCGAGCTCAAACAGACTCTAAATCAACAACAAAGTACTGTTTATATATATATTGATTCTTCAAAAATTCATCAATAAATACTGTGATTTGAGATAATCAAAATATATTTGCATACGAGAAAGTAATTTGCATCGTTCATTTCAAGTTCTATGGTCAAACGAGGCGATGGTATTCTAATAAAAATAAAATACTAAACATTTCATTTTGTTATAAACCAATAACTGTATACAAATGTTTAAGAAGTAAGAAATGTATAGTTTTTATTTAAACTTTACTTGATCGATCATTTAACAACTTATTTTCTGGACCTCCCTCAATTAAAGCAAAAAGTATAAAAACTAGTTATAAATTTGAAAATTTATGAATGTTTAGAAAATATACTCATGTTATTTATCGCATTCATTGATAAATGTATTTCATTCACGGCTATCAAGCTTTCGAATACTCTTGTTGCACCCAACGAATTTGGAAAGTATATAAAAGTAATGATAAATGCATAAGAATTGTTGACAAATTTTTCAAGGCAAATCAGATGATAAAGTAAGCACAAAATCCACTTTCTAAAACCTACATTAACTATTAGTTTAAATAATGTACAAGGGAGCTGAAAGTTTAATTCTGACAGCAATTTGTTCCTTGTGCATAAACTCTATGCTAACACAAGAACTATGTACAATAACATCAATAGAACACATTTCCCCGACTTCGGTTACGGTTTTTTCCGTGTCGATGCAGAAATGAACACGTTTTCATGAGTATAAATTGGCCTATCAGGAATCACAGGAACTTCAATATCACCTTCAAGCATTTTCAGGGCATCCAATATCGTAGGCCTTAAAGCCACCATCAAATGAGCACACAAAAGTCCAACCAGAAGAAACCTTTCCATTATTTCTTTCGGATATCTATTAACAGAACCCTCACCTTCCAACAAGAAAGGATCAAAAGCTTCTTTTACCCTACCGGCTTTCACTAGCAACCAAGCCCAATCCGTGATCAAGAACGAGTTTGGATTTTCCTGTGATGATAAATCAAGAGCCCTTCTTCCACACATTATTTCCAGAATAACTATTCCGAAACTGTAAACATCGCTCTTTTCTGTCAATTGACCGTATAAAGCATATTCGGGAGCCAAATAACCATGAGTTCCTGCAATTCTTGTAGTGAAATGGGACTCGCCTTCACTTCCTTGTTTTGCCAGTCCAAAGTCTGCAACTCGCGCTCTCATATACGAATCTAACAGTATGTTTGTGGGCTTAATATCCCTATGATATACAGGAGGCTTCACTCCATAGTGAAGATAAGCTAGTGCATTTGCTACATCCAAAATTATGCTCTTCCTCTGAGGCCAAGTAAGTGGCCTCTTTCCATCTTTGAATTTACCTTTCTCAGAGAAGAACAAGTGGTCGTGTAGATTTCCGTTTGGCATGTAATCGTAGACTAGGTATCTCTTGTCCTCCTCTTCATTGTAGTTACTTCCTCTCGAGACACAACAGCCTAGAAAAGGCACTAGATTTCGATGTTTCAAGGTGCTAATGATCTCGACTTCCCGGATAAAGTCAGTGTCCCCTTGAAAATCTGAATCTATGATGATCTTGACCGCGATCATGGTTCCATCTGGTAATTTCCCTTTGTAAACAACTCCAAACTGACCTTTACCAATGAAATTCTTGGAGGAAAAATTTTTGGTTGCTTTGTCAAGATCGTCCCTCTTGAAACAGATTGACCCAATCTGGGGCTCCCAGTGCTGCAATTTATTATCATCTACATAAGATTCCAAACTTGAAAAGCCTGCTGAAACTTCCTGCCCTTTTTCCCTTCTATCCCACCAGATGACGCAACCAATTAAGCATAGAACGACCGAAATGGCAAAACCAGCTCCAACTGATCCAGATATCAAGGGCAATTCGCCTGTACCCCTGGAAACTGCTTGCAAGGACAAAGGCAGTCCAAAAATGCAGGTAAGTGCACCAGCACTTTCAGGGCCAAACTTATTTACTATTCCTGCAGCATATAGAATAGCGTAGTAAAAGCAACCTTTAGCGTGAGAAATATTGCCATCGATTGCTAGCAATCGAGCCTGAACCTGAAAACCAGCATGAACACATGCATCACAGGCTGTGAGGTCAGAAAGGTTTTGGCTGCAGCCAGTGTCTAGGGAAGTAGACGGTCCTAAAGCCATGAGCCAATCCTGCTTCGTTTGAATATTGGCACATATGTTAGTGGTGTTGACGAAACGATGAGGTTCAAAACACATAGAAGTAAGACTTTTATCGAGGGACAGAGAATTGAGCCTAGTTTGAAAATCAGAGAGGCAAGAACTGGAAGTGGAAAGATCAGGAAGGCGGAATCGAGACGTCTGCTTGAGGTGTTGGGCAAATCCAATGCCATAAAGGCTGATAAGAGTCTGACAACAACCCCCGGAGGCATCAAACTCAGAATTTTCTCCATTGTTTTTGCAGGCAGATGAGTCCCACGGGATTGTCAGAACATAGTTGAAATTCATAGGACATTGGGATGTGCTTATCGGAGAAGACAACACCAAATTTTGCAAGAAAATACAGATACAGACAAGAGGTATAAATCTCGCAGGAAAACCAACTAACATTTTGTGGGCATAAACAAAAAACACTGATCAAATGAATCCTTTCATCTCAAAATTTGAAAGGACGTATGATCATAAAACGCTGACTTGACGTGCTTTGATTGTGTGTTTGTCAATAACCTCCATCGATTTATTTGGAAAAGAAAAAAATGAGTGGTGTTGCAGTGTTTCCATGAACTGAAAGATTCAAACTTCACTATCAGAAGTTTCGTACAAGAAAATTGAATCCCCTATCTAAGAAACTTGGTCTGACATTTCTTCGATATTTCTTAAATATGTTGAATTAAGATTGGTTGGTAAAAATGTAATTTTGAAAAACATACTTAGCCCCCGTTGGTTTCTCATTTGTAGAAATTTCTTACTAACCAAGAAAATTGAATCCCCTATCTAAGAAATATCCAAGAAAGTATGTTTTTCAAAATTACACTTTTACTAAACCAATCTTAATTCTGTAAAAAGCAAATTTCATATTTTTTTCTAGAAAGTTAGCAAGAAAACTGTCAGAGTCGGGTGTCATGATTAAGATAGGCTAACTTAACTTATTTTCTTGTAATGAGTGTTGGCCTTTTGTTATTGGTTTGTAAATTTTTCCCAAGTTTCATAGGTTCCTAGCAATTTCATAGCGCCAAGAACACGGTGACGGCAAAGAAGAACAAGAAACGTGGTCAACCAATGTCAAAATTAAGGACTTAAAAAACTAATGTTGCACCCACCTCGCCAAACTCCAACGTTGGATTTTTATTTATTTTTTTTCTATTGTTAAATAAGTTGAATAAAATTTTTAATCGGACGGATTTGTGCTATTGTCAAAATTGTTACTTCACCAAATTTTATGAGAGCAAATACATAGTCAATCTCAAATGATTGAAGGCTCTTGAATCGAACACTTGTCCGGTCCAAGCACTTGACCAATATGCAATAGATCCGCTAATTAATCGATCGAGTTAGTGTTCCAAAGAAAGCTAGTACTTCTTTTTTTAAAAGAAATCAAAGATTCTTCTTCTTCTTGGCTTAAAATTTTTAATTATGATGGCCATTGTCTCGAATCTAGGTCTTGAAGCTGAAAAAATGCGCCTGTTTGGGTGTTTTCAATAGTATTTTTTCTAAACATTTGATTTTTTGTCGTTGTCACCCCTAACATTTTGAAACGTTGCAGGCCCTTTTGGATGGTTCCATCTAAAATATCGTTAGTTGATCAAAATAATTAATTTTGACCACATTTTAATTAATTTTAAAAGAACAAAATGGTAACTATCAATTAATCACATTATAATAAACAAAAAAAAAGCCAACCCCACCCCAAACCAAAACCACTTGTTCTCCTCATACCTCCAAGCATTAAACTCCAGGGGCAGCAGCAGGCTTCTTCTTCCTTTTCAGTTCTTTCGTTCTTCTTTGCCCATTTACTCATTCAGACAGTACTAGCTTCAAAATTGAATGTTTAGGGCCTTTTGAGTTTTACAATAAAATTGTGAATCTTCATTCTGCTAATATCAATATACGATTTTTGAGTGTGCTCAATTTGGGATTTTCTCATCACTTTTATGAGTAAGAAATCTTGAATTTGGTTAGATTCTTGTTAACTTGGCTTCCATTTCGTTAAACTGAAAGTTGGAAGTCTTTTTGTTGTTTCTAAGTGTGCAGAATTTGGATTTTCATAAAGGGATTTGGTCTTTGGATACGATTTGTTTTTATTAATTTCTGTGAGTGGATGAAGTTTATTTATTGTTTGATTAGTAAAGATTAGAAGCTTTGGAAATTTTATTGGGTGAAATTTGGCTATAGGAATGATTTGAGGTTGAAAAACAGAGTTTCTTGATTAGGGAATTGTTAGAAGTTGGGGAGATGGCTTCTACATCACCATCTCCAAATTCTTCGTCTCGCCCTTCCAAATAGAGATCTGACTTTTTTTTTCCTTTACTTTTTTTGGTTTATTATAATGTGATTAGTAGATAGTTACCATTTTGCCCTTATAAAATTGATTAAAATATTGTCAAAATCAATTTTTTGGGCCAACTGACAGTATTTTGGATGGAAACCGTCCAAAATGGCCTCACCTGCAACGTTTCAAAAGGTTAGGGGTGGCGGTTGTAACAAATCAAATGTTTGGAGAAAGTCGTCAGTATTTTAAAGATTTGGGGTTTAGACTGCAATTATCCCTTGTAATTATTTAAAAGCAATTTAAAAGGCTTTTAAAAGAATAATTAGTTAAAATACTAAAGTGATTCAAAATTAAAACAGTTTTGCTACACTTATATTTTTTATTGACATCTTTTGTTTACATTTCATGATATGACACACAATTTTGTCATTGATTTTGACAACACTTAGTGGCCTCGATTTTGCCACATCATGGAATGTCAAATTAGTTGTACACAATGAATGTAAAACTAATTTAATTCGAATTAAAATAACATGTCTCTAAAAAAAATTAAAGAGTATTAAACATCATTTATCTATTAAGCCCCTGTTTGTTTCCACTGAAAATAAAAATTCTTACCGTTGCTACAGTAAAAAGAGCTGCGATCTTTGACCTTTTTCTCTCGTAGTGGGCCCCAATTCTTTAAAAAAAAAAGGGTAAAAATCCATTTTTAGGTTAAAACAAGGGGAAACAAATAGGGGCTAAGTCAATTTTAAAATATCATGAACATAATTTTACGAAAAGTGAAAAGTGGTGAAAAGAAAATGTTTTACAAGGAAAAGATTTGCCTAGAAAATGTTTTGCAGGGAAAATGATTTCAAGTGTGTTTGATTGGTATAGTTTTTCACCCGAAAAATTTTTAAATTCTCTATTCATTTGGTTTTGTTTTACATGGAAATTACCCATTAAAGTGATTTTTTGTCACAACTGGTTATAAAATTTGTTTCTATTGCAAAAAAGTAAAAAAAAAAATGAAAAAAAAATTTGTTTCTTAAAAGATCATTTTTTTTTTATCAAAATTTAGTATTCGTTTGACTTTATTTTACATGGAAATTGTCCATTAAAATGAAAAAAAAAAAAAAAATTTAAGATTGGTTATAGCATTTGTTTCCACAGCAAAAAATAAAATAAAAAAATTGAGCAGCCGGCTGGAGGTGGGAAAATATTTTCATGGAAAACATGAAAAATGATGACGTGGCGGGTCGGGTCTGGTCGGGTGGGAAAATATTTTCCATGGAAAATTTAGGCTATCAAACAGTGCAAAAGATGGAAAATGGAAAAAATTCATAGTTCCTTGAAAACTTTCGCCAATCAAGCAGGGCCTTAAAACAATTAGTGGCCTCGATTTTGCCACATCATGGAATGTCAAATTAGTTGTACACAATGAATGTAAAACTAATTTAATTCGAATTAAAATAACACGTTTCTAAAAAAAAATTAAAGAGTATTAAACATCATTTATCTATTAAGTCCATGTATGTTTCCACTGAAAATAAAAATTCTTACCGTTGCTACAATAAAAAGAGCCGCGATCTTTGACCATTTTCTCTCGTAGTGGGCCCAATGCTTTAAAAGAAGGGTAAAAAATCCATTTTTAGGTTAAAACAATGGGAAACAAATAGGGGCTAAGTCAATTTTAAAATATCTTGAACATAATTTTACGAAAAGTGAAATATAAATGCAACTATAAAAACACTAAGAGAATATATAAAACTAATATAGATATTGGATTTAATTTTTTACAAAATAAAGAAAATTTGTTAATTTTATAATATTCCAATCATAAATGAATTTTAAATTATGATCCACTTTCACTTTCATTTATGGGTATAATTTGCCTCTTTTTATTTAACAATTTTTTTTCAACTCAACAATAACCTTTTGTTTAAATCAATATCACACAATTTGAACCAATGACTCGCTGATTCGATTCATTAGTCTAGTCAATTCAAATAGCTATAATTCAATACGTATAGCGATTCATTAGTCTAGTCAATTCAAATAGCTATACTTCAATACGTATAGAGAATGACTATAGAAGTGATGGAAAGGAGATGTAAAAAACGTATATAAAATTACTAGCTTTGGTTGGAATTCATCCACGTTTGCCCTTTTAAGAAGAATTTGATACATAATTAATGTGATTTAAATTCCAATGACATCTGTACTTTTCACAATGATTTCTATTGCCCATTAATCTTTACATTGTTTTTAACTTGCCACCACTCTATCATCATCTATTAAAAAATAGACGGAATAGATGACTTGAATAATAGATATTTACACGTCACATTTGAAACGTTTGTTTTCATCGTGTTACCAAGAATAATCATCATCTATTAATATAGAAACACTTTCTATTGATTAACGTGTTAACCCATATGATTACTATGTTTTTTAACAACTTGCGTGGGGCCGTTACAAGCGCTGCATGTTCAGAGCTGGTTGAATGATCCATGAGCAAAGTGTCGAACCCACAAATACTGACTATCTACTTATTAACTCTACTTAAAACTAGCCTTAATTTTGAACATACATTATTAATGATTTTAAGTTTATTTTTGGATTATTCTAAATATAAATTAAAAATAAAAATAAGTAAATCTTGGAAATTAATCGATTTATTAAAGGCACTAGGATTCCAAATCTACCATTGTTAGCATACTTTAATCCTCGATTTATGAGACGTACGTAGAGTTATTTGTTATTTGAGCAAAAAACATGAATAACTTCTTGGTATAATTACGAATCCTAATAATGACTTAAAATTGACCAAATTATAATATGTCAATTAATTCAACAACAAATATTAAACCCAATGATTTCTATTGCCCATTAATCTTTACATTGTTTTTAACTTGCTGCCACTCTATCATCATCTATTAAAAAATAGACGGAATAGATGACTTGAATAATAGATATTTACACGTCACATTTGAAACGTTTGTTTTCATCGTGTTACCAAGAATAACCATACATGTTTTTGAAAAATACAGTGATTTTATGGAAGACATTGTTAAAATACAGCGCTAACGAGATATTCAACCAAATGTTTTTCACTTTTACATTTTATCTTTTATGTTCGAATTATTGAAATGCACTAAAATAAATTCTAATTATGAATCTTGAATTCAGTTGAGATGATTAGTAATATCCATAAGAGTTGTTAAAAAAATAAATGATTATTTCAATGTAAAATGGAACTATTGTTATTTATTTACTCAAGCGCTGGAAAATAAAAATATTATGTTTATAAATAAATATGATTTGCATGGTATATGTTTATATCAATACGTTATCGACACCTCATACAATTAAAGTTTTTTTAAAAAATATAAAAGAGTAAAAACGCTAGATTAAATATCACATTGGTCATAAATCACGATAATCTTCGTAACGTTTCCGATTAACTGATAAATTTTGATGACACGATGAAAGTCATGTTCTAATGTTTCTTTCGAGTGTGAATATCCTTTATCCATGTCAATCAATTTCGTCTATTTTTCCAATGGTTGATGATAGGATGATAGACAACGTAACAATGCCGTAAGTTCATTGATTTGTCATAGGCATTTTATAGTTCAATGGAAAATAGAAAACATTGAGAAAAGTATAACAGTCATCGCGCATTGAACCTTGGCCCCCAATTATGTGGCAATTATAATTTTTGAAATAATATTTTTTGAAAAATGTGTGGTTAAAAATGATGAAAAATTTTCTATTTACGTGTAATATTATTTTATGAAAAATTGTGTAATTGAAAATGAGAGGAAGAATAATAAATTTTTGGAATAACGAGGGCCAAACGGGCCTTAATTACGAGTTATGTGGTCCACTTTCAAACTCAGTACTGATCTCACTTTTCCATTCTAATTATTTCTAACCAAACGGACCGTTTATGGTCTACGGGAGATTTGAAAGTCAATTACCAATTACATGTCGACACATCGGATTTATGACATGCATATGGGGCCAGGCGTATAAATTTACTCCTCTACCCAAGTGTACCATTTGAAAATACAAAAATACCCATCTAGTGGAAATTATTTTCTGAAAAATATAAACTCAGTGGAAAAATTGCAGCACAAGTCTCCAACTTATAGAATTATTGCAACTTGGTCTATCTTAGTTTGTGTAGCATAAGCAGGTTGCTATCCATTTAATTTAAAGCATGTGTAGAAGTGGTTAAATTATATAGATAGAATTAAGTGATGAATAAGCAGTGTCGTACATGTGTTTCGTAGGACCTGAGACGAACTGCAAAATTTGGGCTCGTAAGTCATAACAAACAACCATATTTTTTTCATTTATAAAAATTTTACGGAGCTAAATTAGTTAACTTAAAATCAACAATAAAGCAACAAATAAAAATGAAATGTTCAAAATATTTATATTACGATCAAATAATAATACAAAAATATTATTATCATTTTAATTCATCCACATTGGCAGGTTCAATTATTTCCCCGTTCTCTTTCTGTTCATCCACATTATCATTCTAATTATTGTTCCTCAATTATTAAATTTTTCGATTTTCCTTCATTCTCATTTCTTTTATTGTTATTAAAGTACTTATTCGTATCTCTAGTATGACTTCAAATTAATGCATCTACTCTTCTCTCTTCTTCTTTTTTTGAGCTCCAAATGCATATTTATGAGCCGTATTTGACTCAAGTCACTCAAGAGTTAACAATTATTGAATTTTGACTGTAAAATTAGAACATGAATTCCAACATTAATCAACTAAAATTCAACATTTCGAAAAAAGCAACAAAATATTAAAATAGAGGAATAATTGCAACATAAGCTCCAAATCTTTTTAAAAGTATGAATAGATCGCACCTAAGCAGTTAAAAACAATTGACAAAAGCAATTTATAAATAAAGGAGAGAATATCTTCTTCCTAAGGATCCTCCTCCTAACAAACCACATCTCCCCATTCCAAATCCATGCCTCTCCTCCAATAGCCAACCATCCCAACCCAAAAGCACCACCCATGCTATCGTCGCACCCCAACCAAAAAGTACAATCCAAAATCCTAAAAACCAAATGCACACTTCTACCAAACTTAATTACCTACATCAACATCCTAGTAAATTCGAGCCATCAACTTGTACACAAGAAATTAAAAATGGGCAGTTGAAATTGGGTGAACGGCAGAGACCATTCACGACCAAACCAAATCATCATCCCTATTAGGATTTCAAAAGGGTAATTGACTCAAACACTTAAATTATGTGTTAATCAATTGAGATTTACATCAGTTTCACCATTAAATGGAATTGGAAGATTACAATAGAGAAGAATTTGATTTTATTGAAATGACATTTTCTTTGCCCTACTTGTTTTTGTTCATTTTTTTCAGTACCCTGTCTTTGTTGCAAGTTTACATATGCATATATAGAGAAATGATCCGATTTGGTCTGTGATATTTGCTCAGAAACACGAAATAGCTCTACATGTTTGCAAGTTTCAAGCGATGACACATGGTGTAAACCTTAGTGAAATAGCCCAAACATTGACGGAAAATGCTCAAACTAGTGGTATTCTAGCCTATGACACAGTTCAAAGCTTCAACTCCTTGTCAAACTAGAAAAAAATCTGCTCTGTCTTCAACCTCAATCGCCGTTCTTCCGTCAGGTTTTGCCGTTAATTTCTCAAGCTTTTGGTCTGGCCTTTGGAAGTTTTATACTTTTGAAGGCTCAGACTGGGTTTCATTAAAAAAAAAAAAAATGAAAAATTGGCCCTCTAGAAAGTTGGGCCTGAGGGGCCTCTCCTCAGGTCCGGCCCCGTGAATAAGTAAGTAATGCACGTGAATTTTATAAAATATGTGGATAAAAAGTAACCTGATCAATTATAAATAAAATATAAAAAATTAAACATTATGCGAACAAGGACTTAAATGTTAAGAATGCACGTAATGTATATAAGTACTAGTTCGAAGAAAAAAAAAGGAGGGAAGGAAAAATCACTATACTTCTCATTCTTCTACTCATTTTTAATTATCACATTAATAATTTTTCCTTCTTTTTCAACCATACATTCTTTATTAATCTACTATTTCAAATACATTCTTCCAAAATAATGTGACTCAAACACACCCTTAAAGATTTAACTCTTAAACAACAAAGTTGACTATTTTCATTTGATAATCTGGTATAAAAGGTGAGGACGATGCCATGAAAAAGTCGAGAAGTGCGAACCAAGTTGTCACAATTTTGATAAATAAGGACCAATAGTGCAATTTTCCCTTACCATTTGACCCCT